TCTTCTTCTCTCTCTCTCTCTTCTCACTTCTCTCTGTCTCTCTTCCTCTCTCTCTCTCTCTCTTCCTCTTTTTTCGTACCATTCTCCACTCACTTTCTCCCGATTTTTACCGATGTTTCGTTCGAGATTTGTGTGTGTTCCTTTATGAAAGCTCGTTATTGCCGCGCCGCGCTGTGCCGTACCGTCGCTCCGCAAGCGCGCACTTATGCCCGCGTCCGATCCGCGGCTGTCCGATAATGCCTCTTATCGTGGCCGCGCGCGTTACGTGACCCGCGTGATACGCGCGTTACGAGAGCTTGCGTTCGCAGACACGACGACGGGCACCGGCGACCGGGTGACATCGGTCTTCGTGCTCATCGGGACACTGTGCTGACACGATCGCGGAGTGACGGCCGATGATGATGGATCGTAACGCGAAACTGTAGCCGCCGCCGCAGTTCGCGATCGTCGTCGCTGTCGCACCGGCACCATTGATATTCCGTCTTAGCGACGCGAGACGTTATTACATAGCAGTAGAATACATATCCTCCAACTTATATCGACCATACTCGTACCTAGCCCCTGTAATCCTGTCTCGCGAAGCGATTTCGCTTCGGTACAGATCCGCGGTGCCAGACGCGTTATCGAGAATCGAGGGGATACCGCTGGTGTGTGTGTGTGTGTCATCTCTCCCGCCCCTCCCGAACGCGAGCGCGGACTGTGCCGCGATTTTACTAATCGTAACGCGAGAAAGCTTTGTTTGAGAAGTTTACGCTCTTTAAAAGTGGTGCCTAAGCGTGATTTGATAACAAGAGAAGAGGAAACAAATTTTTTAATTAGTGCCTATATATACGACGCATCGTACGTGCAATAATCATTCGAGATCGATTCGATCGATCTATCGTAGCCTGTACATACACATTTTGCATACATACGATTTGCTAATTTGCCACGCGCCAAAGATCATGCCCGAGTATTGAGACGAGAAAAGAGAGACGAGGGAGCACAGAAACGAGTGTGGCAAAACCACAGAGAGAACAGGAAAGCACATAGAAGTTTCATAAAAGACATCATTTCATAAAACACGTTTCAACGACGAGTATGATCGTCGTATTCGGAGTCGAGTGTATCGTGTCCGCACCGTGATATCGGCCTGCCTCTTTCCAAAAAGTGTTTCCGACTTAGTGACTGAAACGTCACATCACTGGGGTTGCAGTGATGTCGCGATTAATGCTGTGTAATCTTGGGAATACCTCGACGGCGGGAAATGATACGAACAATAACGCAAACACGAACAGCAGTATGGAGGACGACGATTCTTATCCACTGCCTACAATTTATCGGTACGTAACATGTCTTGCGAATCATCGGAAACTCTCGTTGCCGAATATGCGGGGAACAGAGCGAGTTCGTGATATAACGAGAAAAAAAAAACAGAGCAAACGTGTCGCAGCAATGTCGAGTGTTGACCTGTGAAATATCACGCGTGTCAATTAAAGTTGCTTTATCCAAGGATTAATTTTATTAATTCCGCGACAGACGTGAGAAATAAGTAATCACAATTCTTTTGAATCTGATAAGCTAAAAGCATTTCATTTCATTCAAGATATTGGAATATATCAGTTTTATTCATAATCGAGAATTCATTATGTTTTCGGACATGACAATTAGTAAAATAAAGTTCCCTAAAGAATTACACACACACACACACACACACACACACACACACACACACACACACACACACACACACACACACACACACACATTCATTATTTTTTATTTTTCTGCGTTTCGCTGCTACAAAACTGTGTACACGATTTATCGACTCTCAAGCCCTTTGTATCTCCCAGATATCCTTGTATTTTTTTTTATATATTTTTTGTTTCCCTTAATACTATTATGTCGATCGAACATCGTTTCGTGACTCGTTTCATGAACAGAATATCGAGGATATTTTGGCGGGGCTTAAATTATTAAATATGATTAGTTCACAAAGGTAAATCTGGATAATGTCGGAGCAAAGTAGTCGGTGTACACGGTACACCGGGCACTCGAGCAAAAGACGAGACCCCGAGACCTATCACCTACCCCTCTCCCCCTTCCCCCCCTTCCCCTCCTCCGTCCGTCCCTCGCGCACCGGTGACCCACATCGCGGTGGCGGACTCGCAGGGGTAGCTTTAGCTTTTTAAAGAGGCACGAACGTAGCGCGCGGTCTCTGATACTCCTCTCAGATGTTATTGGAAGGCTGCGCTTTTCTAAAGCTCGCACTCGCAAACGATCGACCGAGCTCACTCGAGCTAAGCGAAATTCAAACACGAATAACTCAACGTGGATTGGTCACCGACGACGATCGTCGGTATCCAATGACGCTCAACTACCAGCGCACCCCCTCTCTTCGACTCGAACGAGCTGCGAGAGCACTGGGGTGTGCTAGCTTACTTAGACTCGGTTGCACTAACGTCACTTGTAGCTAACTTTGGCGATAAGTTTTTCTCTCCTAGATCGTAAGACTGTGATCTGAGAAGAGAAAGAGAGCGACTCGCTGAACCAGACTTATTTAATCCAGAGGGGACGCATCGTTTTTATAGAGCAATGTTTATAAGTGGAGGCGTTTATAAAACAATTAAATTTATATTATATAGAATAGCGTTTCAACATTGCGCTTATGACTAACGTCTACATATTCGTCGGATTATTCGTGCTTGAATTTTGGCTAAGCCAATATAAACGCGGACTAAAAGGTCAGATGATCAGATGATCTGTATCCGCAATCGTAATATCAAGCTGTGATATTAAACTGTAATATTAAGCAATTGGTCGGCCTTTATACATTATGTATTTAGTATTTCTGTATCGAGTTATATAACGTTAATGATGATATTTTTGCTCACTTGATGAGAAAACGACAATTAAGGTGACGATTTTGAAAGTAAAATACACTGCAATAAGAAATATAAATGAGCTTTATGTTCTCTTTCTGACAATTTTAACAAAATTTATCAATGTTTTGAAGAATGAACGAGTTTAATTGATATTTAAATATATTTAACCCTCAATATAGAGAATCTTTCTAAAGTGTGCTTACTTAATGTTCATCGCAATTGTCGATATAATGACGAATTTTTGAAAATTTATGTAATGAGCATGTATAATGCAATTTATAAGACAAAATTAAGACAGAATTAAATTGATAATGTGAAGGGTTCTGGAGCAGCCAAATATCTTGTCGAAATTGCAGAAATTGAAGAACAAATTAAAAGTATGATTATCTTAATAATATCAAAAATAATATGTATATAGAATTATTCAACAAATAAAGTTATCTAACGAATGTTTATATTCGTATTAAAAATTTTATTTGTTGAAATTTTCTATAAACGAACCAATTATTACTTTATAACTTTGGAATTATTTAACTTTGAAGATTGCGGAATTCTCAGCGAGATGAATTTCGACGCGATGTAAAACTGCCTGATGAAATCTCCCTGCTCAATCAATTTTTCAATTCGAGTTTCGTTTCAGCAAACGTTTAACTTGATATTAAATTACTGAGACTACGTTAAAAATTAAATTTTGAAGAAAATTTGAAAAATTGAAAGATTTAAACGAGCAAGAGGGGCGAGAAAAAATTATTACAATTATTCTTCGAAATGTCTAAAAAAACCGGATATCTTTTCAACCGGAAATATCCGAGTACTTCCGAGTGATGACTCAAACTACACCAACCGCATACGTACAATATGGCAACGTGCATCGACATCGTATCGATACGTGATAACTTTTGTTCTTCTTTCTTATATGCGCAGCTGCCGTGCACCCATAGCAAGTCTGGATTGCATGGAAGAGTTCAACGGCGGCGGCGGCGGTGGCGGCGGCGGCGGCGGTGCAGACTCGGGCGTGCACTGCAGCAACACGACCGGCACGAAAGAGCAGCTACTAACTAGCTGCATTGCCGCACAAGCGCAACGTTTGCAGCACCCCTCGCCAGGTATTCGCTACCGCAACTTGGGCAAAAGCGGTCTACGTGTTTCCAATGTTGGATTAGGTACGCCGAATGCATTTCCTCTTTTAATCGTAGAGAGTCATCAGACCTCTGAGACCTCCGAGCGCACGAAAGCGCCTCCCTCCTTCCTCGAAGGCGATACACATATTGTTCCTAGACTCTTCTTTCCCTCAGTTCGCGTGAGGCGCGAGTGACACCCGCGACCGAATCGATCTCTAAAATACATCCGGCAGGATCTTTCGGATTTCTTGTTACTCGCAACCCGCCGAAACGCCGCTGAACTCCGGACTTCACGTTTCCGCGTTTCCATTATTTATTTCGCAAAGCCGTCTTTTCACCGTCTTTTACGTCAGCCGTCTTTTACATGGTTTCCCGTTGCGGATACATACAATATGTACGAGGTGGTATGACCTACAGCCGATTATTTGTGCTCAACCCGTACACGCAATTCACCTAGCTTGCCTACGCAAACGAACATATATTACTGTATAACTAGTTCGAGAATAAACGCTTGAAATTACTACTAATTTTTTTTCCATTACGTTACTTTTAATTCCTTTCAGAAATATTTTCTTTGACATTTAAAAAAAATATATATATATATTTTAGATATATATATATATTTTTGTCAAAAAACAAATTTTTGTTGTACAATAATAATGTACTTATTATAAAAGAAAAGTTTGAAACGTTACCGCATTCTAATTATATAAGGGATTTTGCTTATGCTTGTATTAGTAAAACGAAACACATACTTCGGATATGCGAATAAAAAATTGTTGACAAATCAAATTAAATTTTATTTTTTTTGTTAATCCGAATCAAAATTTTATTCAATTCGGATTCAAATCACGGTATCAAATCACTAACTAAACAATACTCTAACTGGAATAAACACATCACGACAGTCAAACTTGTCAATTAGATAAAGACCACATGAATTGGAATTATTGTTCTCGTTCTTTATAACATTTGTCCTATCATTTTTATAACATATAAAAATTTGTAGCGTGACAAAAAGAGATAAGAAGGATTTTTTATTATGACTATCCTTCTCACGTTTGGTCAAATAATTTGAATGCAAACTGCGTTTATTTTAATTATGCACGGAAAGTATGGTTTGCTTGGATAAATCAATTTTCGGTGAAATATGAGTGAAATTTCGTTAAGATCAGAATTTAGTCTAAATTATTAGGATTTCTGGTTAACTTAAACAGGAAATTTTAATTGGAATTTTTTAATCGTTCATATTTCATCACGAATTGTTTCCATCAACCAAACTATACTTTCCGTGCGATATAAATCAAACTGAATCGAATCGAATCGTCAAAACCTAACTTTCAATTAACAACATAATTATTGAGATTGAATTCAGCGTAATGAGGTATAATTGCCAATACAACGGGGTGTTCCGCGAGACTTCTGCCACCGCTCGTAAAAAAAATAGATGGGACCGAGATGAACATAAGAGTCCCATCATCATTTTGTATTGATATTCGCAATAATAATCGAGACATTATTAAAAATACGCGTGCGTAGCTATTGCCGTTTGAAGTAAACAATTCCTCACGCGCCCATCAACAATGATCGCCGGGCAGGATTTATCTTATTAATCGTTCAATTGTTTCGCAATTTCGGCCATACGATACGGCCAGAAGACTACTACCGCGGAAAAAGTATAATATCGCATATTTGATTTGGCTTTATGGATGCAGGAACGTGGACCACCTTTGGCGTAGGTGGTTGCGGCAGCGAGGAGACCGCAGAGGCCGTCGTGGCCCTCGCTTACGACAGCGGGATTAACGTATTCGACTTGAGCGAGGCGCATAGCGGCCACCGCGCCGAGATCCAGTTTGGTCGTATTCTGCTGAGACGCGCCTGGAACCGTTCCAGTTATGTCGTCACGACGAAAATTTATTGGAACACCAAGTGAGTAGAGCGCCGTCCGGTGTCGTTGCGCGTACATATCTCGGTGTCATTGGTAGCGTCGTCGTCGTTGTCGTCGTCGTCGTCGTCGTCGTCGTCGTCGTTGTCGTTCACCGTCGTCGTTCACCGTCGTCTTCTCGTTATTGATGGTGGTGTTTAGCGAGCATTGATAGTGGAGCTGGTAGTGGAGCTCTCGACGTGCTCTCTCGGTGGCTCTCGATGTTGTTGTAACGCTATTGCACGCGAAAGCGCGGTTTCTTTCTTTCCTTTCTTTTCCTTCTTCTTTTCTCTCATTTCTTTCTTTGTTTCTCTCTCTTTCTCTCTCTCTCTCTCTCTCTCTCTTTCTCTTTCTTTCTTTCTTTAGACGTGTGTGCTTTTCAATCGATGGCTTCAATGTAATCGAACTTACTCTCGCCCACCGACCTGCGAACTTTTATCCTTCGCGTTCCCTTACTAGTGTATTCTGTGTACACCATGAGATGCTTAGACACTGTGCTAATGGCTTGTACAAAACCGTAAAAGTAGACAAATCGACTAGGTTTTCTTTTGTAAATTTTTAAATTTTTTTTTTATGATTTTACAATTATTATGAGATAAGGAAAACTAAATGCTATATAGAAATCTTAAAAGCAATCACTAGTTTCGAACACAAAGCTAAATTCTTCCCCGAGTCGTAAATCATAAGGCCAAAACTAATAACTGCCAGTCATTAATAACACGAAGGCTATTGATACTTTATCACGTATTTGCTAATCACATATATATCGCGCGATCTGATATCGAATACGGAAAAAAACCAGAACCTTTCCTTAAAACACTTTTTTACGTGAATTATTACAAACGGCGTGTCATTGATGATCAATCGGTGACGGATATTACTCTTGGATATTCGTAAAGTAAGCCACTTTTATTTTTAGAAAGATTGCAAGACTCGGTAGGGAGACACGTTGTGCAGAAGTGAATCTCGATACGAGACGGCCTCGTTTAATATTAAGTGGACAGCGCGAATATGAGGTTTTGCCTTGACACGTGGATCGATAACTAGGTTCTCGTGCATCAGCGGCGGCATCGAGCCACCGATTGTTGTTTTGGTCCGTATTTAATGCCGTGTGTCGCGATGAAAAAAACCTAGGGGGGGGGGAAACGCAACGTACGAGCGCCGCCGTACTCATCTGCCTCTTATGATCTCTACTAGCATTTAATTCCGCTTGCAGCGTTTAATGAGAATGATAACATCTGCCCATTCTTGAATAGGACCGAGGGTCGCGGGCTATCGCGGAAACACATTATCGAGTCCGTGCAAGCTTCGCTCGTCAGGCTGCAACTGTCGTACATCGATATTGTCATGATCCACAAAGTCGATCCAATGTGTCCGATGGAAGGTAACTTTCCACCTTCTCTTTCTCTTGCGAGTAATATTCAAAAGTTCGTATCCTCTCTCTTTCTATCTCTTTTTTATCGTCTCCATTCCATCGTTTAAACACTTACAGCACTTCACTGCACAAAAGCGTACTACGATACTGTGATATATCATAGTATATACCATGACATGACATAATATCCCGGTAATAATTTCACATGAAAATACTCGTCACGATAACGCACAATTTAGCATAAGCAGATTAAAAAAAAACACACATTTTTATTGTTTATACTATGAGACGGTGATTATTTAGTAAAATTCAAAAAAATTAAAATTGGAAATAAAGAATTCAACATAGTCATATTATATGAATGCTGCTTTTTTGGTATTTTGGTATCAAATTTGTTATGTGTACTTTTGATATTTGTTTCAATTTAGAAAAGTACTCTTTAATAATTTTTATTTAATTTGTGTTAAAAAAATTCGATTACTATTATAAATAGTTAATGATTTCTATTGAATTTTTAATTAATTTGAACATTAAGAGCTTGAAACATCTTGCTCTTCATCAATATACATCAATTCATAAGTAGTCATAAGAATATCATTTAATGAATATTGCTTTTTACGGATAAAGGTAAAATTATTTATCGTCAAGATCATACTGTGCACATTAAGATTAGTCTTTAAACTTTAAAGAGATTATTAATTCATTATATATGCTAAATTAATATTTTAGGATATATTATTATTTCACATATTCAAGAAACACGAATTCATTGAATGGCGTTATGCAATATTAATATAGTATTAATATAGAATTAATTATTTAATATAGAATAAAAAATTGTATAATTAATAAAAATAAAAACTTTTTGGTGTCAAAAACTCTAGAATTCGATGATGTGTGATTTAGTTTTAGATTGCATAACGCAATTCAATTTCACAAAGAACAAAAACTTTTAGTAGTCTATATAACAAAATTAAAAAAAAAAATTATTAATGTAATTCTAAAGAATCTCCATTATGGTGATGATTTGATGTTTGGCAGTTGCATTGTGCCGTAATAGTTATCGTATGCTTCTTTCTATATTTTGATATTTTTATAGTGAAAATGGGAAATCATTGTTGTAAAAATGGATGCATATATATATATATATATATATATATATATATATATATATATTATGCATATCATTTTAGATCATTTTATTTCTTGTTATACGTATGTGTAAAGTTTTTGTGTTTATGTCTCGCGTTAATGTATGCTTTATATCATATGAAAAATGTATGCAAAAAAACCTATTTAGCTATTTTACCTTTATCCTTACGTGCTTTGAAATACACCTCCGCTCTCTTTTTCTTCTCAACAAACGTTATTTCACTGTAAAGTAAAGAATGAATAGAGATTTATGTATCGACTTCGCATCATTTATCATGATAATTTCTCACACTAAGGAAATTTCGTTTTCGCTCTCTGTATCTCACGTGTACGCGTATGGTTTCATATTGCAGAAATCGTTCGCGCCATGAATTACGTTATAAGCAAAGGTTGGGTAATGTACTGGGGTACATCGCGATGGACACCCGTGGAGATTATGGAAGCCTATACGAATTGTCGGCAGTTTAATTGTGTGACGCCGATCGTGGAGCAAGCAGAATATCATCTGTTTTACAGAGAGAAGCCTGAGCTTTACATGCCAGAATTGTATAACAAAATTGGTAATTAATTCATTTTCTTTCTTTAATTGTCTTTAACAGCACGAAATATCATGAAATATATGTTGTGTAAAAAAGACTTACAATTATGACATTTTTGATAAATCGATAAATTTTTAGGTGTTGGTTTAATGGCATGGTCCACAGTCACAATAGGGATGGTTTCTTCAAAACCGGAAGATTGCGGAGTATCATTCCTCTCGAGATCTTCCTACAAAGTAAGTATTTGTAATAAATATATTTATATTATATATAATATTAAGTGATATCCTGCTGCAGAATATCACTTATTACATTTTGTTATTTGAATTATTAGTTATATTCTCGGATTATATTGGTTTGTTTATTTTAATTATAATTACAATTTATAGTTGTAATAATGAACGTAGCTGCTTATGCAAATTAAAAAATTATTAAATTTTTAAAACTTTACTTTTGCATTAATTTGTAATTATAATTATTAGCTTAAGTTTAATTTGCATGATTACCGAGACGATAAAAGAAAAATTATTTAATGCCATATTTTTACTTTCCGAAAGATAAATAATAACATTACATTATTTTAATAAATCAAAATGTAAATATCTTAAAAAAATTTATTTTTTTAAGACAATTTATTTTTTTTGTTAAGATCAATTAAGACAAAAAACATATGATTCTTCTTCTGACATAATACCGATACAAAGAATAATATTTATGATTTCAGAACAAATACTCCTCGTTCAGTTGGACAGAGGATGAAACTCAATCTTTGTACAAAGAGGTATGCGAACAATATATTTATAGAAACAATACGTTCGTATTATTTGTATTCTGTTCGTATTACTACATGTACAGAAAACAAAGTCATAAATACAACAATCCAAATTAAATGTATCATATTTTATCTATATTTATTTCAAGATTTAGATTACCATCCGCTATTTTATTTTTAGATATAACGTAATGTAGATGTAACGTAAAAACGTAATATTCTAGTTTTGTATCATCTCGAATAAGCATAATTCTACAAAATCACCATTAAGCGAAGATGCAATTCCTGATTTATTTCTAACTAAACAGGCTAATGATTGTTTTTGCAATGCAGGAGTATGCGTGGAAAGAAAAATCCGCAGACGAGGAGACTCGAAAATACTCGGACAAATTGCGAGATGTATACGCTCTTGCCGAAAGATTGGGGTGTTCTTTCGGGCAACTGGCCATTGCGTGGTCTTTAAAGAATGAAAGTGTTCAGTGCCTTCTGCTCGGTGCATCCAATATAGATCAACTGTATGAAAGTCTGCAAAGCTTACAGGTAATGAATGAGCTCATTTCACGCAAGAGGTTGTTTACCCTATGACAATATTTATTACAACGTTATCATATAAGATTAACTGATGAATCAAATCTGTAGTTTTCCTACCGACATCAAATATCATAGCATCGAAATCGTATGTAAACTGTTTCACTTATCGATAACTTATCTAATTCTTTTTTTTGGTTTTATTATTTTATATGGCTTGGCGTATACAAAAATGTAATTAAGATTTAATACTTATCTAATCATATTTGGTACGTTTTCCTCTTTACAATATAATCTTTACTATCTATCAAATACATCTGATGGAAACGATTCATTTATCGTTTGAAATTTAAAATAAAGGTCAGAAAGTAGAATTATTTGTTTTAATTTGCAATCTACTAAAATGGATAGTCAGAATAATTTCGCGGCTAATCGATATCATGTAGTAGTGAAGAAAAGTAAAAGAATATGCAATATATAACATTGTTCGACAAAAAAAATCACTTTTTTTATCTCTCCGAAGTTATACTGTTTCCCGAAGGGAATGTTTTTCGAATACGATATCGTTGGTAGAAGTTGCTTAATCTCGTCAAAATTTGAACATTTAAATTACTCTTTAGAACTAAACTCAAATTATTTTTTTGCTGTCATATATTTAAATATGTATTTGCCTTTCTCGTATTATATATTATACAGAAAATCTATAACTCAAATAGCCATAATTTGATGAAAATAAATCATATTATCGTGAGTCAAAATTTGAAAGCTCTTAAATTGTAGATTTTACATGGAAACAGATTTTCTTTTTGCTATAAAAAATGTGAAGATAAAAAGGAAATACCTTTTTCGCCTTAATTTACTCAAAATTTTGACAAGCTAGGCAAATTTTGATTTTCTTGATAAAAATAAATCGTCTGACTCAAAATTCATTTGAAAGTTCTTAAATTGTGTTTTTAAATGCCGTAGACTGTGTTTAGAAATAAGTTTTCTTTTTGTCGTAAAAAAATGTTGGAAAGAGCAGGCAGATAAGTGCCATTTCTGGCCACTTTCATCTTAATTTATTTAAAATTCTGACGCGCCAGCAAATTTTGCCAATGGTATCATGTTCAACACGAAGAAATCTTCGGCACACGTATTATGGTACTTTACTTGGAAAGAATTATATGTTAAACTATATAAATTACTATCATAAAAGGGAATACGCAATTTTCAGCTTATTCCAAAGTTGAACGCGAGCATAATGAGCGAGATCGAGAGGATTCTTGACAACAAACCGTCCCGACCGCCAATGATATCCACACTGGCGCTCAGATGACAATCGATGTGCCCCCACGGCAGCGGTGGGGGCTCCTTGGAGGAGGCGGGCAGTCCGAAGAGCGAGGGTGGCAACAGTCAAGATCAGGAACAGACCAAGGAGGTGAACAACAAATTACCATTCTGTGAGATACAGTGAAGCCGCGCACGGACAACAACCGTCTCGTTGCCCCATGATATTGGTGGTTAACATCAGTCACCACAAGTAGCCAAGAACCGACATGGACGCGACTAATTTCCGCGTCCACGCTTTTCATCTGGTCGCGACCCTTCTAGTGAAGGGGGTCGAGTGCACACACGACCACGAGTCGACACGACAATATTTATCAATTACGAAGAAATCCATCTCCGGAGATTCACCGCGACTCGGCGATGGCGAGGAGTATCCTATACTTTACGCATGATTTATATCTCTCGTACGTCACACTTGTGGACACTCGTAAATATATACAGGCGATAAATGCGGCATATTTCATCGCGAGGTCCCTCTTATCTCCGTCGACAGAATCGCGTGTCGCACGCTTTCAAAGGCATCTCTGGAAATGGTTATACTTGTCCCGTAAATCTCCGTAAGCTTCTCTCTAATCTCCCTCGATCGGAGAATCTGAATCCCATTGGGAAATTTCTATTCACGATTCCAAGTGTTCATTATTCGTAGCGTTAATAATCCCATTTGCTACACTTGTAGTGAGTGAACTAAAAATTTCGACGAGTGTCCACCGAACCACTCCACATTCGTTCTGCCACTTATTGGTCGAGTAAGAGCGATTTGCGGACAATGAAATTCCGACGGTGTAACAAACACGTTGATTATCATCTTAAAAATTACGTTGTAGGTCATAAGAATTTTATCAAGGATACTATCAACAGCGCTACGTTTTAAGTACTCTATCAAATACTCTCGCCTTTAATGCGATACATTCTACTTCATTAACTTCCGGCGTCCGATACATGTTTCTTTCGCTATAGTTATTGAGCTTGATTCTTCGCTTTTGGTCCATTAACTTTTCTCTGTTTCTCTTTCTCTACCTTTTCCCTTTTCTAGTTCGTTTGAGGATTGACAAGCGCGATTGTATTACATTAAGAGACACGTGACATAAAATGCGCAAGCTTTTAGTAAAACACATCGCTAATTTCTCGCTGTTTTCAATATTTCACGCTGATTTTCAGGTTACAGATATTAAGGAATGAATGCGATTGAAAAATTATCCAAGAAACAGGATAATCAATAGGGCTGATAATTCCTATGATCGAGTCTAGTTTGTAGAATAAATTGGGATAAGTGATTTGTAAAAAAAGATCAGAGTGAAACTTTAAAATCTAATTCAATCCCGTTAATCCGCCAGTCTGATTCTTTAAATGTAAATTTCTTAGCAGTTACATTTAAAATATTTTCATTAAATATTCACAAATTCGGTGAAATTATTGGTGAATAAATTATATAACAAAAATGTATCATAGATTTATCGAGAAATCTTTAAAGAGCGGGACACTATGTACAAAAGATCTCTTTACTCGAATAGATGACCATTTCTATCAAAAGAGCGTCTGTTTATCGCCGATGATAGTTTTTCGCTTTGCTGTAGAGCATGTTTCTGAAGAAAGGTCATTTATCCTGAAGAGAATCGCAAGATTTGTGATAATCTACAATTATATCTTTGAGCGAAGTATTGTTTCTGAGTAATATCCTTTCAATTTAACTTGCTGTTCCTTTATGCCAAAATGAAAATGACAAAAGTCAGCAGATGCGCGTCGTGCCAGTCAAGCGCCGTTTTGCCGCTCACTCGAGACATTGCTCAAATATAAAATGAAACATGAGAAAATCTCTCGTTCCCATAAAAATGATAAAAAATCCATATATCAATACGTATATAATTGTAAAAAAGTCAAATATACATTTGCACGTATCTGCAATCAACTTTTTTAAATTATTATTATTTAGCTTGGACGAACAGCTTCAACAAAATTTTTTTCTTTGCTATTATGTATTACGTTTAATTTCTTTTGAATCAAAATGCTCGTCATCTATAATTTACAATTTCCTTTTCAAATGCGAAACAAATCAAACTCATTTTTACACACATGCGGAAGTTTACTTAGCATACTGTATAATTGATATTCCACTTGATCTTGTCAACTTGACGATAAATACCGAGCCTTTTGGAAATATACGATGTCGTAGGTACTCGCAGAGAAGAGGAAAAAAGAAGGAACAACGGAAGCCAATACGTTTTTATCGATGCAGTTTCTTCAAGCCAGATTTTCGCCCGATGCGTGAAACAGATACAGCGCGATGTAGATTCCAGTGTAAATATTTGGAAGTGATAAAATTAGAAGAGACATCATGTCGCTACGCGCGGTAAATTAAAAAAAAAAAGATAAAATAAAAAATAAAAGTATCATATACCAAATATCGAACCAATCATAGTATTTGCGTAGCAATGCTTACAAACTGATACTACGATCTCGTCAGGAAAGAAGGCATCGAGCAATAACTGTTATTGATGCACATGGATTTTATCATCTATTGTTTTTCCTTTTTTTACATATTTCTATATTTTCACAATACATAAACCGCTTGTATAAGGCGCCTACAGGAATCACCGACGACGACCGTTTTACGATTGTCTATGATTCAGAAAAGCGTTAATAAGAAATTGTACAACAAACGAAATTTAAGAATCATCACAAAGATACGGTATTGCTTGAATACTTGAAGCGTGTCTGAAAACGTGCGAAGATTTGTGGAAAAACAGCGCGAGATTATCGCCTTTCGATTGTACTGTGTAAAAGTAAAATAACGCGATGGCAAATAAATGAAATCCAATTTTCACTAAACTACAGAAACATGATTCGAAAGCTCTTCTTAACTTACCGCAGTCATCTTGGATGACATTAAAGCGAAAAAAATACGTAATGAAAATATAAAATATATTAAAATGTAAATATTTTTTAATAAAATTATATTTGCAATTAATAAAACAGCCTAGTAAAATATATCAAAAGCTTCTCTTTGATTGAATAATCAATAATTAATCATATTTATAGCATCGAATTGTGTTTTCGTTTATGATTAAATACAATTCAATATATTTAATCTAACACAAACTAATTTCAATAAATAATGTAAGTATTTATTATTGATTAACCAAAGCAAAAAAAGAAAGTTTTCAGTCATGTTTTACAAGTCTGTCTTAAAATCACAAATATTGCTTTATTAAAAAATATTTCTATATTAACGTATTTTGTAGGAACGTTTATTATATATATATTATATTTTTGTTTTTGACATTATTAATCGAGATAACTGCGGTAGAAATCTTAATAGGGCCATCAATTTTTTATGAGACACACAAACTTCTGTATCGCACTTTGTAGCTGCTAAAATCCGTCCTAATATTACAGATCGGGAAAAATAACATATTTATTTACAGAAGTCATTTTTAATTTTTGCAATTATTGCTTCATATTATTTCGTCGCAGTTGTCTTACATAACTATAATATTATATTTTTTGCAAATCGAATTCAATTAAAATCAAATTAAACGAAAAGATTTCCTATATAATCATTTGATAGATTTTTATACATGCTGGATTATTTATGATATTTCAACGGAAAATGAATCTGTGCTTTAACGCTTGCACTATTTCTATATTATGTATTTTTATTGTTGTTTCATATCACATTCGTTTCTTGTGCTTAAGGGGATGCTGAACTGATGAGCGAACTCTGACGAGAGCGTTCACACATATGCACATCTAAACATATTTTATACATTTATGTATACATACATACCTTCATTTCTGCACACATACGAACAAATTTTCATATTTTTATCTCATATTAAATATTTAGTCTAATTTAGTCTAATATTTTAGTCTAATTCTAAAAACTCAACATTATTTCTTCATATAATCTTTCAGTCTAGCAATATCAATTTTGTAGATACAGGCTGCAAAAATGTTATAAAGCAAATATTGACACAACTTGACAACTCTGGACACCATATTAAAGTTCCAAATGGTAAAAAAGATGTAAATTAAAAAAATTTTTCTCGTCCTTGATACGAAATTCATATGCTAGACATTATTAATACATAAACTTTATGGATTTATAGGAATTTACAAATTTATAAAATAAATAATACAAAATTAAATCGATACAAAAATTATCGCATTTTATCGGTTTTACACAAACAAGTTCAGCATCTCTTTAATGAAAATTAATATTGCGATGGAACGTCTGAAGATGAATTAAAATTTCGGATGGACTTGATCATAATGAAAAACAAAATCTCCAGATGTGATAATCCAGATTAAACAAATTTGAAGCGATATTATCGAGAACCAGTTTCAAGTTATTCGCTTTTTAGGTAAACAGAACTTCTTTCTCATTACTCCAATCCGGGACGTGGATAACTTTTACTGATTAGATCAATATCTTATCGATTTAATTTTTACAAAATAAATTATTAATTTAATTATTATTATCCACGAGAGATGAGTATATTAATCATATTGATATAAAAGACAAGGACGTAAGGAGGTGAGCGTGCGTTCCTTACGAGTCTTTCGAAAATATCGAGTTTCACGCACTTTTAATTTTTATTACAAGGCGATTTATTCGAAAAAAATAGGAAAAATTCGCGTAACCGCGGCCTATTGCGTTCCCTCAAATGCCTACTTATTTATCGCCTATTTACTTACTGTAAATAGGTACATGTAGATCTCGCTGCTTGCATAGGCAAGTCTGTCGTATCTTTATTATTACAATTAGAGAAAGAAAAAGTACGGCAATGTTGCGACGCCATAGACAAGCGAATATCCAAGCCGACAGAGTAAA